GGGGCCGGGCCGGGCTTGGGTCTGGACCCGTACCAATAAAAAAAGAAAAAAAATATTTCAAAAACCATACATATTTTTTCGTGTCGGCCCGGACCCGGCCCGACCCGGCGGGTCATGGTAAAAAAATCACGACTCGAGATTGGCCCGGATGAAATCCGAGCCGGGTCCGGACCCGTGGTCAACTGGTTTGGCCGGGCCGGGTCGGCGGGCCGGTTGACCCGTGGCCATGTCTACCAATACTAACCCTATTTAATAGATGTTATAGTAAATGATGGAGATAGTATATGAAGAGACACTGTGTATTAGATTGAATGTTAAAAATGGAAAAATATGAACAAACTAGCCAACACGACATTTATTTAATCAATAATCAATTAAGCCAGAATGACAAATAATAAAAATAGGAATGTAACTTACTATTCCCTCCTAATCATAATAAGTGTCGTTTTAGAAAGTTGCACAGTAAATAAGAATGATTTTTGCTAATAATAACCCTATTTTAATGAAGATAGATAATGATGTTTTGGAGAAAAATAAATAGTGAATATACAAAGACGTAATATATTTATTAGCTAAATGAAGGTAATAATGAAAAAAATATATACAATATATATAAAACGACATTTATTTGGGCAATAGTCGATAAAACTAAAATGACATTTAAAAAGAATAGGAGATAGTATAATTGATTGAAAATAAAAACAAAATATAATTTTCACATTTTCCACACACTCTTGTCTTGGGATTTACATAGTAGTAATTGGCGCCACATTCAATTGGACTCTGTTACCTTATCTGCATTACAAAATCTCTTGAATTCATACAAATCTACGTGACATCCCAATAAGGGCTAAAGCCATATAGTAGTCCCCCAATAACACCTCAAAAGCAACACTTAAACACCAACTATACCAACAAAAAATTAACAAACACACAAATTTTCTTGGATCACTACCAAATTCACATAGAAAATTTCTTGGATCACTACCAAATTCACATAGAAAATTTCTTGGATCACTACTAATGCAACAGTAAAGTTTCCAATTTATTTCATCTTTTTTCACTCAAAAAATTCCTTCACCATCTGCAGACAAAAAAATCTAATCTTTCTTAGGGGGAGAAAAACAAAGAAAAAGCATCACTTACAAACACCGGTCGATAAAATCCCATATCCTCTCCTCCATGTACACCCGGTCCCTCTGCCTACGTGGCATATGCCTCTCGTCCGGAAATATCAGCAGCTCGTAAAATTTTCCGGCACTCACCAGCGCGTTCACAAGCCTCGCAGTGTGCCTGAAGTGCACGTTCTCATCAATCATCCCATGCACGAGCAGAAGCTTTCCCTCCAAATTCCCCACATGGTGCATAACCGAGCTACGCTCGTAAGCGGGCCGATTCTCTAGGGGCAGGCCCATGTACTTCTCGGTGTAGAACGAGTCGTAACCGTCCCACGAGGTAACCGGAGCACCCGAGACTGCGCATCGGAAAACACTCGGGAAACGCGCGAGAGCCATGGCCGAGAGGTATCCTCCGTAGCTCCAACCGTAGATCCCAATGTGGGCCGGCATGGATAGGCCGCGGCTGACGAGCCACTCGGCACCTGCCAGCTGGTCGTCAGCATCCACGTGGCCGCATTTGAATTTGAGGGCTCCGGCAAACTCGAGCCCCCGCCTAGCGGTTCCTCGATTATCCATCTATCGAGAGATATATATAGGAGTTGAGATAACTCAAAGAAGTATTTTTTTTCTTTTATGATATAAGAATCTGCCTAAAATTTCATACTTCAGAGTAAGCTACTCCCGTTTAGAGTGTCCATCTATGGAGAGTTATATATACATAGGAGTTGAGATAAGAACTCAAAGAAGTTTTTTTTTTT